CATTTTAACATGTATCTGAGTATAGTAAAAACTGAGGGTAATTTCTACAAACTTTAATTTTTCAGGTAATGCAGGCCATTTTGATGGCGAGGTTTCACCACTGAGATACTTGGAGATGGCTGCTGAGTGGTTTGCCACAGCGATCAAGTTGTCGCCCAAAAGGGCTGATCTTCATTTTAAGCTAGGGCAGATGTTGGAGGAACAACACTATGTGGAGGATCTCTATGGGATCAAACCTCCAGTAAGTTGGCTTGTTTTAGCCTGCATTTGATATCATTTTGCCAAAAAATAATTAGATAATCACAAGAGCTTCATTAATGTTTTACGCGGGGGGTAACTGGTTTTGACCGAGCAAAATGTTTTGAACTGAACTTCGTTGTTAGTGAAACTTTCTCCTAGATGGTCAAGCCAGGCAGGAAAAATCATCCTCGTGGCCAGTCAATTTGCCCAGTGCCCGGCCCTAAATGAAACAGCCTGCAATCAGGGAGACTGTATGCTTCGTGTCTAGATATACTGAGCTTCCAATTACATTGTGTAACAAATTAGTTTGCCAATCAATTCCAAGTCGGAGTGATCACACCCATAAAATCAAATCAGACTGTCTAGTCTGTAAGTGATGAGAAGAATGGGAAGCACCAATAACATGAAGAACAGGAGGTTAATTTGTTTACCTGATTTAACACCAGATTCTCATAATTAGAATGAAGTGATTTTATAGGCTTCGGCGTCAGTAGAGGAGAAGTGAATTAGAGATTGGTTATAGAGCAGGGTTTTCTTCTTTTTTTTTTTTACAGAAATCCTCTGATGATGATGATATGGATTTTAATATGAAATCCAAGGAAAGTTCCAAAGAAGATGACATTCAGGCCATCTGTGAGCTGCGTGGTGCCGGACGGAATGCCCCATTAGCCTTGCAGCTGAAGGCTATTGATGAAGAATATCATTATCTTTTGGACCAGGGACAGTCTGACAAGGCTGACTATGTTCAAAAGTTGTATGCATGGAAATCAAAACAAGCTACACAGGTAATGTACTACTAGGCTTCATTTCAACTTCATGACTTTTTGTGAACAATATTAATATTTTGTTTGTCTTATATAAAATTTACTTAGGTCAATATGTAAGCCAATTCAGTTGCACACACTGACACATGTTACCAATTACTGACAGTAAGGTTTGAGAAGTTGAAGAACTAAGTTCAAAGTTAT